GGCCCATAGCTATCACATGGTACAGGGTGATGTGATTGGCCTAGGCACCATGTGAAAGCTGTGGGCCAATTACAGAATCATAATATTTAGTGCAGCTGTTATGAATGAAACCCAGGGGACACAGCAGTCATGGGAGCTGCATGCTGCACATCCATGAGCTGGTGGCGTACATGTCCAGCCTGCCCGTGTCGCCCGCTGCAAATGTACTGTTATACATTTTATACCAAGTGGAGGATGTGATGCTTCACCTTGCAACTGTGACAAATTTAACATGGCTTGTGGAGTTGACAGGAGACACCACCTTGTCTATTCAAGTTAACAGGGCTGTGCAAATCAAGAGCCAAATGCTTGTCTTGTGGATTTTAAATTACTGCTCAGCAAAGAATAAAAGCAACAAAAAAACAGACATTCAAGGAGGCAGCTGGGTCACATCCTGAACACATAGGGTGCATGCTTAGCTGCCCTTCTCTGTGTTTTTTTTTTTCAGGGATGGCTACACTGAATTTAACCTAAGTGTGTGTGAGTCATGATGATGTTACAATCAAAGTGACTGACGTCATGAGAAAACTATGGGGGCTGCAATTACTCATTCTATTTTGAAAGTACTAGTTTCCTGCATCTGGCTTAGTCTGTACATGTAGAGCAGGGTGAATTTATGGGTCACAACCTGGGGTAAGCACACAGCTAAGTCCAAACCTTTTTGATGGGGTCCCTGATGGAACACCTGTTGGTCCTTATAATCTATGTTCTAGGGCAGTGGTCTCCAAGCTGCGGCCCGGGGGCCGGATTTGCTTGCTTTTATCTGGCCCCTAGGGCACTTTTCCCCCCACTGATACAAGACACTATTCCTCTCATTGATACCGACAATGGGGCATAATTCCTGCAACTGACATCAACAACCGGGCACTATTCATCTCATTGACACCATCGATGAGGCACTTTTCCTCCCACTGACACCAATGATGGGGCACTATTCCTCCCACTGACAATGATGGGGCTCTATTCCTCCCACTGACAACAATGATGGGACACTATTCCTCCTACTGACAACAATGATGGGGCACTATTCCTCCCATTGGCACCAACAATAGAGCACTATTCCTCCCACTGACACCAATGATAAGGCACTATTCCTCCCACTGACACCAATCATGGAGCACTATTCCTACCACTGACACCAATGATGGGGCACTATTCCTCCCACTGACACCAATCATGGAGCACTATTCCTCCCATTGGCACCAATCATGGAGCACTATTCCTCCCACTGACACCAATGATGGGGCACTATTCCTCCCACTGACAACAATGATGGGGCACTATTCCTCCCATTGGCACCAACAATAGAGCACTATTCCTCCCACTGACACCAATGATAGGGCACTATTCCTCCCACTGACACCAATCATGGAGCACTATTCCTCCCACTGACAGCAATGATGGGGCACTATTCCTCCCACTGACAACAATGATGGGGCACTATTCCTCCCATTGGCACCAACAATAGAGCTCTATTCCTTCCACTGACACCAATGATAGGGCACTATTCCTCCCACTGACACCAATGGTAGGCCCCTATTCCTCCCACTGACACCAATGGTAGGCCACTATTCCTCCCAGTGACACCAATGATAGGGCACTATTCCTCCCACTGACACCAACAATGGGACACTATTCCTCCCACTGACACCAACAAAGGGACACTATTCCTCCCACTGACACCAATCATGGGGCTGTATTCCTCCCATTGACACTAATCATAGAGCACTATTCCTTCCACTGACACCAACAATAGAGCAATATTCCTCCCACAGACGCTAATGAAAGGGCACTATTCCTTCTGCTGACACAAATTATTGGGCACTATTCCTGTAACTGACGCCAACTATGGGGCACTATTCCTCCCACTAATACCAACGATAGGGCACTATTCCTCCCAGTGACACCAATGATGGGGTGCTATTCCTCCCTCTAATTCCAAAGATTGTTTACTCCCTCTGATGCTAGGGCAATTTTTATTCCCGATGACCTCAGTTCGGCCCCCCTAAAACCTGAAGGACAGTAAACTAGCCCTTTGTTTAAAAAGTTGGAGACCCCTGTTTTAGGGAAACCCACATCACCTGCTCACAAGTAGGTTCAAATGCTCTTTTGGCTGAATAGGTACACATTCCCACTGACACAATCCAAAGTCTTGTGGAAGGCCATCACAGAAGTGTAGAGGATTTTTATAGCCATAAAGGTTGGGAGGCAAACACCCTATGGTCATGGTTTTAGAATGGGATGTCCAACAAGCTCATCTAGGTGTGATGGTCAGGTGGCCACAAACTTTTGATCATAAAATTATCTCCTTGCCTAATATTCTTGAGAAATCAACCTGTGTGTAACTAGCATTAGAAAAAAAGAGAAAGTTAGCTGTGAGCTCCTCCTGTGGGTGTATGCATCTTTATGTACATGTGTGAGCTAAACGTAGCATTCATAAAGTTCCCAACAAATTACATTTAATGTAAGCAAAACAAAGAAAAGTGTATAGATAGCCTCTGCAGTGTGCTGCTGCTCCTTTGTTTCTCAATCTGGAGGCCAAGGTTGGTGCCCTTGACTATGCTCTGCTGATGCTGCAATGGAAGTCAAGGATGTGGCTGTCCTGTCCGATAGGGTTATCTTGTATCTAGTTCACAATCCTCGCTGCACACAATTACAAATCCTTTGGCAGATATTATGGCCCCTATATGTATTTAAAATGTGTATGTAGCTTCTTGCATGGAGTTCAGCATTTAAAGTCAAGATAGAAACATAAAAGGACACCATTGCTGACCTCTCCTGGTTGTCCTGCTAACCCTCTTGCTTCAGTATGTTGATTCAGAAAATGTGTGTTGATAAGGACTTTTGTTTCATTTTTAAGCACTAAAGCCAGTATCCAAATATAACATCAGGGGTTTTTGCATTTTCAGAGGTGATCAATGGCAACTCCCATGTTTGTCGTATGACAAGTCCAGACAACAACCAGCAATATCTCTAAAATATATATCAATGAAAATATGTTGTGCTACAAATAACAAAATGCACAATACCTAATATTGCTATAAAAAATATTGTTACTTTGTATTTTGGTGTGCTGTATCTTCGTTGTTTTGTCTCTGGATCACCCCTTTAGTAATGTCCAGTCATAGTCCTGTTTCAGACTACCTTCATTCTCAAACATTTTTACTCATATAAATTAGTTGATCATCATACTTTTTACTGAATCAAGTAATTAGCACCAACATTTTTATTCACAATTTAAACTTTATTGTTAGAAAAAATCATGTTCAGAGAATTATTATCATTTCCACATTTACAGTTGCAAGAAAAAGTATGTGAACCCCTTGGGATTACGTGGAGTTTTGCATGAATTGGGCATAAAATGTGCTCTGAACGTCATCTAAGTCACAACAATAGAAGAACACAGTCTGCTGAACATAATACTACACAAACATTAGATGTTCCCATGGTTTAATTGCACATAACATGTAAACATTCACAGTGCAGGGAGGAAAAAGTATGTGAGTCCCTAGCTTAATGACTTCTCCCAGAGCTATTTGGAGCCAGGAGTGAGCCAACCTTGACTCCAATCAGTGTGATGATATTGGATGTGTTGCTGACAGCTGTCCTGCCCTTAAAAAACACACACCTGTTTTGGGTTTACTGGTTTCAAGAAGCACTCTCTGATGTGAACCATGCCTCGCAGAAAAGAGCTCTCAGAAGACCTATGATCAAGAATTGTTGACTTGCATGAAGCTGGAAAGGGTTACAAAAGTATCTCCAAAAGCCTTGATGTTCATGTGTCCACAGTAAGACAGACTGTCTACAAATGGAGAAAGTTTAGCACTGTTGCTACTCTCCCTAGGCATGGTCGTCCTGTAAAAATGTCTGCAAGAGCACAGCGCAGAATGCTGCATGAGGTAAAGAAGAATCCCAGAGTGTCAGCTAAAGACCTACAGAAATCTCTGGCACATGCTAACATTTTTGTTGACACATCTACAATAAGGAAAACATTAAACAAGAATGGAGTACATGGGAGGACACCACGGAGGAAGCCATTGCTGTCCAAAAAGAATATTGTAGCACGTTTGAAGTTTGCAAAAGAGCACCTGGATGTTCCACAGCACTACTGGCAAAATATACTGTGGACAGATGAAACCAAGATTGAGTTGTTTGGGAAGAACACACAACACTATGTGAGGAGAAAAAAAGGCACAGCACACCAACATCAAAACCTCATTCCCACTGTAAAACATGGCGGAGGGAGCATCATGGTTTGGGGGCTGCTTTGCTGCCTCAGGGCCTGGACGGATTGTTGTCATTGATGGGAAAATGAATTCCAGAGTTTATCAAGACATTTTGCAGGAAAACGTACGACCATCTGTCCGCCAACTGAAGCTCCGCAGAGGATGGGTGATGCAACAGGACAATGACCCAAAGCATACAAGTAATTCTTCAAAACAATGGCTGCCACAGCACAGAATACGCCTTCTGGAGTGGCCCAGTCAGAGTCCTGACCTCAACCCGATTGAAATGCTGTGGCATGACCTTAAGAGAGCGATTCACACCAGACATCCCAAGAATATTTCTACACTGAAACAATTTTGTGAAGAGGAGTGGTCCAAAATTACTCCAGATCGTTGTGCAGGTCTGATCTGCAACTACAGGAAACGTTTGGTTGAGGTTATTCCTGCCAAAGGAGGGTCAATCAGTTATTAAATCAAAGGTTCACATACTTTTTCCTCCCTGCACTGTGAATGTTTACATGTTATGTGCAATTAAACCATGGCAACATCTAATGTTTGTGTAGTATTATGTTCAGCAGACTGTGTTCTTCTATTGTTTGTGACTTAGATGACGTTCAGAGCACATTTTATGCCCAATTCATGCAAAACTCCACGTAATCCCAAGGGGTTCACATACTTTTTCTTGCAACTGTACCATCTTGAACGTTTTTTTTTTTCTTCACAGTAGTTGCTGATTTAATTTAAACATACAGATTCCTTTTTCAAAGGTGTCACACCTTTTCCTGTACAAGCTTCTGGCTTTTCTCCCTGTTTAGAAAGAATATTCACAATGAGTTTATTTCTCAGCTGGTACCATTAGGAAAGTTTGTATTTGCAAACAGGCATGCTGAGTGCTAGCTCATGTACAAAGGACATTTTGCATCACTTGCTTTATGATTAGGGGGTCCTACTGGGTGCCATTCTGAAAAATGAGGATCGTCAGTGAGCACTGATTCTACAGATTTCATTTTACTGATGGCAACACAGCATATTGTGTATACTTTTCTACATTCCTGGATATACTGTACTACAAGGATCAGTACACCTGTGCACACTAGTCTGTAGGGAGCTCCTTGGTGATCATGTGTTTGAGTCTGTAAGATAAAACAAATAGGATATTCCTATCTCAAGTGTTCCTGGAGATGGCTCCAAGCAAGTGGGTGCTTTAGTAACTACCAGTTTGAAACAAATGTCAACTCAAATCAAAGCATATATCACAGCGCATTGTGGATCTTCAAAATCTTGTCCAAAGATTTATTACAGGGATCACATCACAGTAGTAAATGTGACATATGGAGGCCACGCAGGATCCTTTTATCAGGCATGCTTGATGAAGGGATCCTATGTGGCACTAAAACATTGCAATATACTGCTGTGATGTTGGACACTATTTTGAAGATTTATGGTGTGGTAGTGATATATGTTTCTACTTGAGTCTGTAAAATGACAAAGCAAAGGGCAAACAGTAACCTCTCACAAAGCTATAAATTGCAGAAAACAGAAATGTATGTTGTATGCAACCACATAAAAGAATAATGCCTATACATCTACTAAAGTGCATCAAAAATATTTAAGATGTATGGGGTTTTAAAAAATACAAACATATATGCTCACCTCCATTCTGCTGCATCTGTCCCCTGCCAGCTCTATACCCGAGAACTGAGCAATCACATAACCACTGATTGCTCAGTTCTCGGTCTTCCCAGAGCAAAGAGCAGTGACTGTCAGTCACTGCTCTCTGCTCTGCCCCTCCAGCGCTCATTGGAGTGCTGGGCTGGGGGGAAAGAAAGGAGCATCCTGCTGAGCCACTGAGTGGAATGCTAAGAAGCTGAGCCAGCTGCTGATCGGGCATTTGAGGGGATCAGGACAATATGGTCAGGATTCTTCCAGAACCTGGAGCGGCTCTGTGATATTAGCTGACAGCTTGCCGTTGACTGATTCTGGGTCACAGGTAAGCACAAATAATTGCACTCCTGTGACCAAGAAGAGAAGTACGGGCGAAAAAGCTTTGGCTATACTACTCTTTTAAAACACCAAATATTTGTGAATAACATAGAACTGTCTTGTTAATCCCAGATATCTTTCCTATGTTGTTTATGCTGTTTTTTTAGGAATGTTTAGCTGTGGTAATGAAATCTTCTGAAGATGTGAAGAATGAAGTAATTTGAAGGGTCATCTGACTAATGAATTTGCAAATCTGAACATGTGAGGCTTGTTGTTAAAGAAAAAATAAATGTATCCATTCTCCTCTTCTCCCAATCTGTCCTGTTGAACTGACTTAAATATACTTTGTGGTGTCAAACCCTTTTGGTATAGTATTTAAAGTTTAACGTTCTTCATATGGAACAGCAATCAACTGATAAAGCAATGGAATACAACAAAGCCTTTACCTGCCCTTTTAAATATTGTGTCAAATTCGAAGTAAATAATGAAGTGTAATTATCAACACATTGGGAACCCTTTTGAACTATGTCAAATCAATCCAGCCTAATATATAAGTAAAGTGACATTGGTACATACAGCACTTACCTTGTAAAGTTCACAGACAAGATTAAATAATGCCTTTTGAGCTCGAGTCTGCAGATCATCATCATGTTTCTGAAAAATAATTTTAAAAAGTTAATTTAAAAAAAGGGCTCCATTTGATAGGATAATGAACTCTTTAGAATGACCGTGATATAATATGAATTCTCACACTGAGCAACTGCACATAGTATATTTCTGTATTGTGATCTGTGCTTTCACCTCTGATCAGTAATTAAAAGCCAATTCCATTAATTGATTTTTCTATCCTGTTTGTTAAGGAAGGTGAATCTGAATTGAATGCAGTGTAGTCATAAATTATCACTTGCCTACCGCATGGGCAACAATTGGGTAACAATTGTCTTATTGTCAACACAATAAAAGAATGACTTTAAAGGGTAACATTAATATGAATGGTCAAAAAAAAAGAATATACGGTAACTGTCTAAAAAATATTAATGATATAAACTTTCAGAAAGTTACACTAAAAAACAGTGAGCACTAATTAGAATAATGTGATTTTTTTTTATAGAATTATATTGTTTTAGATGTGGCTCTATATCATTTATGAATCCATATGGATATGCTTCAGTCTGCAACTGTGCTTTAGGACTCATGCAATTGGGCATAAAAAAAAACTGCTGTGTTTACAGCCGCCCAGCATTTTTTTTATGCCTTTCAACCTTTAAACGCAGTTCAGTGTTAGCCTATGTGGTCAAGCATATTACGCATGTAGATCTGTATTTTGAGAGCAGCATTTAGAGGCATAAAAAAGGCCCCAATGTTGTGTTCAAAGAGGAGCATAACTTATGAGTGTATGTAACTAAATGCACATTAAACATGCAGGCAAATTTATTCCAGTGGCCAGAATAAATTAATATTGTGGCCAATAGAATGATGTTGCGCTCAACGCCACATACTTGTAAATGTGCATAAACACACATAATTACACATCAAAATGAGCATTTTTTTATGCTTGATTTTTCTGCCATCTCCTGGCAGAAAGATCCAGCGTAAATAACAGTATTTCAATATGCCCAAGTGCATGAGGCCAAAGCAGTACTAAACCTTCAGTTTTTTCAAATGTACTGGGTAATATCGAGCAGTTCAATATAATATTTTTTTAAAATATGTGTACGCAAACAGACTTTCCCTACCTGCGTAAAACCACTAGCTGCTCCAAACTGCTGGGCAATGGAATGTGCCCCTGTGTCATTCAAATACCCAGTAAGGGCTAGTTTACACTAGTGTTGCTCTCAGAAAAGAAATCTGTGTTTGGCTCACTCTTCAGAGAGCATTTGACAGGCTGTGATGAGGCATTGTATTGCCTCCTCACTGCCTGCTTTAACCCCTTGAACCCTACACCTCAACCTTGAGCATTGCAGGCAGTTGTGAGGTTCCTCTATTCAGTTGAATTGGTTGCGATCAGTGGGCAGTACTGCCCACTGGATGCAACAGCGGGGATAATTGCAAAGCTTCATCACTGCATCTTATATACATGCCCCTTTACTGCCTTTGCAGCTAAAAGGGGTTGGTGATTGTTGAGGGGAAGGGTGGGGACGGCAAAACCATGGCTCATCTGTGTGGTTTTACCGATCCCAAATGCTAGTGAAATGAGGTCTAAAGCAGAACAGCAGACTCCATCCGCTGTCAATCAGCAGCTAGAGGGAGAAGGAGGCTAATCCAAGTAGCCAGATGGGTGGGTGCAGGTATGGGACACTCCAGAGTTCCCTATGAGGGGATGGAGTCACCCAAAGAAAGAATCCAGAAATGGGGGAAATTATACCCAAGAACTTCAAAGCAAACACAGCATTCCAAGGGGAATGGACACACCAGCAAGGAAAGTGCTATGGTCTACAACAAAATGTGTTTTTTGTCATTAAGGTTTATTGTCACTTTATCTTGCAATCAATCATTTCAAATAGAACTTATTGAAACTTGTATAGTAGTTAAAAGGTATGGAGTAGCAGGAATAAAGGTCATTGTTATTACATTTCAGTAATATTATCAGCATAATATCACCCTAGTGCTTCCAGATGCTCAGGGATTTTGCTACCCCACCAGACTGATGCACTGTACTGTAGCTTTCTTTACCAGTTTGCAGCATTGTAATTTTCTGTAAACTTCAATGTAATTTGGCAACCTGGGGGACTTTTGTACAAAACTGGTGTGTGATTGGTTGATTTTCCCAGACGTCTGCATCAATATACAAGTCAGATTTTGACTAAAGGGATTCAGACCCTGCAACTATCCTTATTAGAACACAGCGAGTACATTGGTTGATTAATAATAAATTAGCCATTCCCATTCAGACTCACTGTGAACATTGATATTATTATTATTATTATACAGGATTTATATAGCGCCAACAGTTTGCGCAGCGCTTTTACAATATAACGGGAGACAGTACAATTACAATACATTTCAGTACAGAAGGAATAGGAGGGCCATGCTCGTGGAGCTTACAATCTAAAGGAAGGGGGAGATGATACAAAAGGTGATAACTGCGGGGGATGATCTGGCGGAGGTGATTCAAGTACAGTTCTTAGGCGGAGGTAGGGAAGACTTCCGTGAAGAAATGAGTTTTCAAAGATCACCTAAAGGCAGACAGGGTGGGGGCTGACCGGACATGCTGTGGTAGGGAGTTCCAGAGGATGGGAGAGGCTCTGGAGAAGTCCTGGAGGTGAGCATGGGAAGAGGTGATGAGGGAGCTAGAGAGGAGGATATCATGGGAGGAGCGGAGTGGGCGATTTGGGCGGTATCTGTGGATGAGGTTGGTGATGTAGCTAGGGGCAGTGTTGTGGATGGCTTTGTAAGCTGTGGTTAGTATTTTGAATTTTATAGGTTGGGTTAGTGGAAGCCAGTGGAGGGATTGGCAGAGAGGGGCAGCAGTCGCTGATCGGTTGGTAAGGTGTATGAGTCTAGCAGCAGCATTCATAGTAGACTGAAGGGGGGATAGCCTGTGTAATGGTAGACCAGTGAGGAGGGAGTTGCAGTAATCGAGGTGGGATATAACCAAGGCATGGATGAGTTGTTTTGTGGTGTCATTGGTCAGGAAGGGGCAGATTTTGGAAATGTTCCGGAGGTTGAGGCGGCAGGATTTAGCCAGTGAGTGGATGTGGGGCCCCAGAGGAGAGGTCAGAGTCTAGGATTACACCTAGCACCCTGGCATGAGGGGAAGGACCAATGGTAGTGCTGTTGATCTTAATGGTAAAGTCATGAGTGGGGGATCGGGGAGGAGGAAATATTACAAGCTCAGTTTTTGAAAGATTGAGTTTAAGGTAGTGATGTGACATCCATGCTGATATGTTGCTTAGTAGATTTGTGATACGTGAAGAGATTGAGGGGGTGGGCTGGGGAGTGGAGAGATAGATCTGGGTGTTATCAGCATAGAGGTGGTATTGGAAGCCATGGGAGGTTATCAGTTGGCCCAGGGAGGAGGTATAGAGAAAGAAAAGGAGGGGCTCAAGAACAGAACCTTGGGGTACCCCAACAGAAAGAGGAAGCGGAGCGGAGGAGGAGGAGTTGTATGTGACACTGAAAGTGCACTGAGAAAGGTAAGAGGAGAACCAGGAGAGAGCAGAGTCACGGAGGCCGATGGAGTGGAGTTTACTGAGGAGGAGCGGGTGGTCGACTGTGTCAAAGGCAGCGGAAAGGTCAAGGAGTATGAGTATGGAGTAATGGCCGTTGGTTTTAGCAGTTAGTAGGTCATTAGTGAGTTTTTGTAGGGCAGTTTCTGTGGAATGTTGTGGGCGGAAGCCAGACTATTGGGGATCAAGAAGGTTGTTGTCGGTGAGGTAGCAGTTCATACGGTTGTGAACAAGGCGCTCGAGAAGCTTGGAGGCAAACAGGAGCAGGGAGATGGGTCTTAAGTTATTCAAACAGGTGGGGTCCAGCGAGGGTTTTTTGAGGATGGGGGTAACCAGTGCATGTTTGAGTGGGGAGGGAAAGGTGCCCATGGAGAGTGAGAGGTTGAAGATGTGGGTTAGAGAGTTTAGGATAGAGCAGGAAGGAGGCTGCAACAGTCGTGAGGGGACAGGATCCAGGGGACAGGTGGTGAAGTGGGCCTTGGAAAGGAGTTTGGTACCTTCCTTGGTGGTAACAGGGTCAAAGGAGGAGAGTGTAGAGTTTGGTGTTGAGCCTGGTATGTTGGTTAGAGGAGGAAGCTTGACACTGGGGATCTCATCATGAATTATCATGAATAATATTAATAATAATCCCTTTCAAAGTAAGTAGCACCAACACCTGTCACCATTGTTTTAATGTCTCCACAACTCTTTTCATTGCCTCCTGTTGCTAGACAATCAGTGGTGTGCTCCTTCATACTTTCTGCAACCCTGTATGGCCGATTAAACTGTCTCACAGGCAGATGACACCTATGTATCCATATCACAGAGTATCTGATGTCCTCTTAAAGAGAACCTTCCAGCTGGCTATCCAAAACCAAAGCCAGAAGCTCCAAGTTAATTAAAAAAAACATATACTTACCAGTCCATGGAGTCCAGCATTGTTGACTTTGCATCCAATGTGTTTTCATCTGCCCTGTCATGTTGGATTTAGTATCTGGCTATCCCTTAATATTTTTCAGAGCTGGCCCCTTGTTAAATCGCCTCTTCACATGTGCGAGATCAGGAGATTATGTACCGACTGTAGTGAAGCCTCCGGGGATATGTAATATAGATATCCTAGAAGGCTGAGAGTCCCTGATGGTTACACAATCCTCACCAAGTCAAGGAATGAGGAAGTGGATGGAAGCACCACCAAAAATAAGGTACTTGCTTTACTAACAAAAAAAATTCCATGAAGCTATGTAATGGGGAGGACAGGAGGGGAAATTAATTTATTGAAAGGTGCAATTTAACGGGAAACTGAAATTCCTCCCAAGTTCTTTGATGGACACCTTTTATCCCGATCTATATGTTTATTTTGCCAGCAATAAGAGCCATCTATTCTCCCTCTAAAGGCTACATGAGAGCCTTTTATACTCCTGGAGCACTGTGTAAATTGTTGATTCTATAAATACCTATAATAATAATAATGACCCTGGGGAGGAACAAGGAGCTCTTGGAGGCAGCATCCCAGGGGGGCCAGAAAAACACTTTGGGTTTGGGATACCACTGAGTATCAGTGGCACTTAGTCATGTCACTTATTGTTTCCTTGCACTCACCTCTTAAGACGAGGCTTTATGGCTAGTCCAGGAGAAATTTTATACAGGCCGTAAGGCCTGTCTTGTGTAACTGCACTTGGCACTTTTTATATATTTTTTCACCATTTATCATGGTCACTAGCATGGCACGCATGTTTGTTTGTTTTTTTTTTTGCACAGAAATGTAGGATGAAGGTTTGTCGGGGCCTGCCCTGATGTCAGGGAGAGGATCTGTGCCCCTTTGTTCTTCTTGCTCTTTCCAACTGGGGGTGTCTCTTCAGGAGAGTCCTCACCAAGAACTTGGAAAACCAACCACGTTACGTCCTTAAGGATCAGGGTTCACCTGGCTTTGGCCTAGATAGATCATGGTATGCCTTGCTCCTGTCAGGAGCCTTGCATTCTGATGGTTTAGGGGTTGAGGCACTTCCTCTTTGGAGGATGGTCCTATTCTGTACCCTTTGTTCAATTTTGTTTGTGCTGTGATTTCACGGGTTCATTTTTTTTTTTCGTATACAGGCAACTGACTTAGCTTCACACCTGCGGAGCTCCGTAGGAAAAAAAAAAAACAGAAATGATCATGACCTCTTGTTAAATCGTTTGCTTCATAACTCTTAGTCTAAGGACATGAGGAAAATGTAATCATGCAAGCAATACTCAATACAAACAAGATGGCAACATATGTTTGTTTTATAGCATGTACTCACTCCATTGATGACTAGCCATGGCACATATTGATGTGGAGGGTCAAGTGCCTGGGTTTGCTGAGCATTAGCGTGCATAAGTTTGTTACCCAGGTCCCCATTCACACAGTCCAATACTGTTTTGACTGGGAGGTCCGGCTTAAGAGCTTGGAGGCACTGCCAAAGAATAAACAAAAGACATAAAAATGAATTGAACATAGACCACATTCACTGCTATTCATTTACTAACCTTAACCACTTCAGCTCTTGTACTTTTATACCTCTTAAAGTGGTTGTAAACCTTTACATTTGCCAGTGAACTACTTTACAAGTGAAGTGATTGGCCTCAGAAGATACATAGATATTAAACAAACTCTCCTACATAAGGTGTACCTGTATATTTGAAGTATTATGTTCTTTGCATCCAAAGTGCTGAATTTATTAGGTTTGTCTTACAATTCAGAAAAAAGGGGGAGGAGAACTGAAATTACACTCTGCAGAGCTCAGTGAGGAGAGTTCTGAGAGTTGATTGGATGGAATAGACACACTACCTTCCACACAGTACACAGGAACAGGCTGAGACTGTCAATCAGCTGGGCTCCCATCACCATATTTCTCTTGGTGTCAGGAATACTTTTCAGAAATTATTCATGCTGGTAGAGGAACAAAGCAGCAGGCAGAAATGACACCTAGTGCTCTGAATAGAGATAAGTACACACTATAGTTTGATATGTTTTGATATTTCATGTCTGAGGTTTACAACTACTTTAAACAATTTTTACATTTTGTTATGAGCCTGTTTAACACATAGTAACACATACATTATTTTTAGGGCCAGGCTTTCATTTGGTAATATCTGGTAAATATTTTAGAAAAATAAAAATTATTTTATTTTGTACATAATCTAAAGACAAAAAGATATAAAACATGAAAAACAGTATCATTTTCTATATTGTCCAGTGTCCATTAAGATAGGTATACGTTAAAGCCTAAATCCAAGCTGGCACAAATGAACCATTTTCTTTACTAGGTGATGCAGCTGGTATAAGCATTATACCATGCTGTATGCAGCATCAGCTACATATAGAATGCAGTGATATGTTCCAGCAGCAGTACAGGGACTTCCCGCCTGCTGTTAAGGCTGCATTCACAATTTGCGATTGTGAATTGCACGCAGAATCTCTGCAATTCTGCCCACAATTCCAAATTGCACTGCAATCATAGTAAAATGCACCTAGCATGTTTGGGAGCCATTCATTCTTAATCGCGGTGCGATTTTGCCACGATTGTCATGTGACAGGATCATGCTGCAATTGCAGCAATATGCATTGCACTATGTGGTCTCCCCAAAGAAGCTCCTGCTCCTTTATGGGCGACAAACTTCACACTATGGGGTTGATTTACTAAAGGCAAGTATACTGTGCACTGCAAGTTTACTGCAAGTGCAGTTGCTTTATATCCGAGGGGAAGCTCTGAAAGCTCTGAAATGAGGCGATTTCTTTCATTCAATCATGTGCAACCAAAAAGGCTGTTTTTTATTTTCCTTGAATGTTCCCCTCAGATCTAGAGCAATTGCAATTTCAGTGCACTAGCAGTACACATCGAAATATACTTGGAGTGCACAGCCTATTTGCAAATCAACCCCTATGTGTTTTGCCATGATTGCAACGCAATTCTGTTGTATGGCAAAATCACACAGCGTTTGAGGTGCCATTAAGAATGAATGGCGCCCAAACATGCATGGTGTGTTTTACCATGATTGAAAATCACCAAGTGTGAATATGTCCTAAAACAAACTGAGTCAGGCTAAGTGCTTCTCAGCCATTTCCAGGGAGCCTTGTATATATATCAGTCAATACAAGTCTTCCTCTGATTGGCTGAAGTGGAGATTAAGACACCAACGGTCCACCTCTTCACCCCATCCAATCAGAAGAAGCCTTGTATTTCTTGATAATGTTGTTTTGCAAAAAATGTTCACTTTTTTTATGCAAAGCTGAAAAAAATAAACTGAATGAAAACAAAACAATAAAAAGTGTATGGGCAGGTTCACACTATTGAAAAATGCAGTTCTCAGCAAGGGCATACAGAAAACAATGTTTTTCTGTTTGCCCCATTTGCACTTCCACACTGTGGGGCAGGGTGGTGCATTTTTCCTCACCACTCTGCAGATCTCTGTGCAATCTTGTGTTTCTACAGCTATGAACTGCCTTGCATAGAAATTAATGACATTCCTTTAAAGTTTAGGTGGCGAAAAGGGGAAACAGTACCTTGGATCATAAAAACACAGGGCACCATTCTCCACTTGTGTAGTGTAAACCCACCCTAAATGTTAACTGCAAGTTTTTTTTTTTGTTTCTTTTTTTCTACAAAGAAGTGCCTGCATTTTGACAGCTGTTCATTCTTCTGTAATACAAATCAGTTCTTGGCTGTCATTTTGAGAGCTGCCAATGGTTTATTACAGTGTCAAGAGAATGGCAGCAACAGGTATGAGAATGGTGTAGGACAGTGGTCTCCAAACTGCTGCCCGGGGGCCGGATGTGGCCCCTCGCTTGAGCTTATCTGGCCCTCGGGGCACTATTCCACCAACTGTCACCAATAATGGAGCACCATTCACCCTACTGACACCATCAATGGGGCATTATAGTTCTCACTGATATCAACAATGGAGAACTTTTCTTCTCACTGACATCAAAATGGGGCACTATCCCTCCCTTTAAAATCAATGGGGCACTGATGCCAGGGAATTTTCTACTCCCACTGGCTACAGTCCAGCCCCCCTAAGATCTGAGGGACAGTAAACTGGCTCTTTGTGTAGTTTGGAGACCCCTGGTGTAGCAGATATGCCCTAGAAACATTTTCTTAGCAAGTGCCCAGACTTGTTTGTTCGGGTGGCTGAAGATGCTATAGAGGGTATGCTACTGTAGTGTGCCTGTGTTCCCCTCAGCTGCTAATTCATAGTGTTCGGAGAGAAGAAATGGTTGACTTTAGCTATGTTAGCCTTCTTGCTGGGATTAATAAATAACAAGTACACAGAATGCCTGTAATATTCACATTTACTGGAACAAATGCTGTTCACGTCATCAAAAGCTTAGGCAAGCGATCACATGCACTTTTGGCAGAATCAGTCAATCTGAACTTTGCTGTTCCTCTTCAGAAGTTCTTCTTAAAGTGGAATTCCAGGCTTTTCATAACTAAGCTTAAGGGATAAGTTCACCTTTCGTAACATGTTAGACCCATATTCAGGGTGTAAAATGTAATATGTTATGATCTGGCCAACCCCCGCACCACCCCCCACCCCAACATCCCTCCTGTGACAGCTTGCGGGGGATATTCTCCTCCCTGCTAGCTGTTACCGCCCACTGGACCACGTCACTCATTCAAAGTATTCTGTGAATGGGAAAGCTACAAGTCCTGGCAGCCTTTGCAGCTGTTGGCTTGTAGTTTTCAATAAACTACCACGGCGCTGTTCATTGAGCCTTCCTGTCAGTAGTATCTTCCTTGTTCATACAGGATGTACCAGCAAGCAGAGACCTGCATGGCACCAGCCATCTGCTGCAATGTTTTAAAGGCTCCACAAACAAAAAAAAAATAAATGCACATTTTTTTACCTGCAAAAAAAATGTGCATGTATTATTTTAATGTTAAAAGGTGAACTTATCCTTTAAACCTGCACCCACCTCCCTTCTAACTCCTATTGTACCCTGTAGAATATATTGCTGACAAGTGCAATGCCGACGCTGGGAGTCAATCTCATGATCAGACCGGAGTGCCCTGTGGCAGGCGCAGCACCCTTTGGTGCCTTGTGCGCTGTGGCATTAGAAAAATTATGCAATTGCTGTTTCTTTGTTTGATTAGACTGACTTTACTCTGTAATTCCTCCAATGCCGCTCTATGGATGCAGTAGGTTTAAAGAGCACACCGAATACTTTAGTTAACTTCTTTAATAACTTCAATCTTCTTCATATAACACTGCTTACAATGGCTTGTTTCATTTATCATACAGTAGCTTATTTCTTTCATATTACAGTGGTTTGATTCAATAGCTTATCTCTCAATAGGTTCAATAGATTCGATAAATTTGTTCTGTATATTTCGATAGATTGATAAATTCGCTTGGATTCGATTATGATTACTCTACAGTGATTTGATTCGTTTAATTCGTAAATTCGGTAAGTTCGGTGGAACTACAAGTAAACACACACACAACAGTTTTTACATACAGATCTACCTGCACTGCTAAACAACAGAGGAACACACAAGTGCATTAAATACCTATTTGGCCTGCTCTGCTTCCATAAAGCTTTTCTGATTGGAACTGTCTGTTTCCTCTTCTGTCTGGTGAGCATGTGTCTCTAGAAAATCCTAGCAGGGAGTTTTACACAGGCATAGATGTGAAACTGGCTGGGATTGGTTAAGGCTCTGTACAGTGTGAGGCTGTCTGTGATTGGCTCACCTTTAACTAAATCTTAAAGACATATTTTCCTTTTTTGCTTCTGCTAACACAATGAATATACAAATGTCATATAACAATCAAAGACATAAATCACAGCAATGATTCTGCTTTTGGCTTTAACATATGCACATATATACTATACTGATGTTATTGGCAGGTTTGGTATAGACATATATGTGAACCATATTAACAACCTAGGACTGGTCTTAGCTGGCCAGCTACATGCCCTCAGAATAGATAAGTATAAGCATCATCCTTCTACAGGGTGGTTAGAAATAGGATTTAGAAGTGGGTGGGAGCAGGTTTAGGCATAGTTAGGAATAGCCTGCAATTCCATTTTATTAATGACCAAATATCTAGGCTTTTGATTACACAAGTAGCATTTTCTCCTTAAAGGTAAAACTTGCTATCATTTGTCACCTTAGGCTATATGCACATGGCTATAAGAATTTTACTGATCATATACACATGGTTTATCTGGCGCAAAAGTTCCAAAGTAAATGATCAGTAAAATAGTTGCATTAAGATGTTTTTAAAAGCGCAAAGACACATATGCATTTAGATGTGTAGACTTCAAAATCTTTATCCTCCTGCTCTCTTTTCAATCCCAGAATGCAGTATTTTCATCTATGTATATGTATATACATGTACGCACATATTCTTATGTGCAGATTTTTCGATTTTTGGTTAGGGATCTGAACACAGGGCATTGCCCCTTTGTAAACAATACATCTGCATTCAGATCCGTAAACAAAAAAATGCTTTGAAATACTATATGCATATACCCTTAAAAATACTGTGTAATACAATAGTAATAATATTTCCATTTTCAAATAATTCTAGATGTTTAGACCTTTTTGCAGTGGTTAGGTATATTCTGCAAAGAACATACAGTGAATATAAAAAGTCTACACACTGCTGTAAAAATTCCAGAGCAAGAATAATTAATTCTAATTTTTTCAACTTTTATGTGACTTATAATCTGTGCAATTCAATTAAAAACAGCCTATAATTTTTAAAAGGGGAAAAAATAAAAATAAAAAAAACTTTACATAAACTTGTAAGAGTCTATCAGCATTGGACATCTTGCCTTGGGAATTGTTGCCTTCTCTTCCTTGCAAAATCAAATTGGCCTGAGGTTCAGGTTCTGGCTGGTCCATCCCAAAACTTTGATCTTCTAGTATGTACAAAACATCAAAGGGATCTTATTGTTAGAAGGTATCAGTCAGGGTTTGAAAAGGCACGGCAAGGAGTGTAGACTTTTTATATCTTCTGTATGTATTTATCTGAATATGTTACATCACTTAACACATCACTGACTTACTGGTTGTAGTGCTGCTGTGCAGTTGGGAGACATTTCCATACAATCAATGATAGGAAAGTAGCTAGCGATACCTGGCAGGAGGTGAATAAGACATGCCTAGGCATATAAAAGAAAAATAAAATTACACTACAAAACATCATGCATGCATCAATACCAAGTAAAAAAAAAGGTTTACATTATATTTGCCCGTTTTCTTCTTTTGTTTTTTGTTTTTGCTAAATTCTGCTGAACATTTGTTATTGTGTACAAAAAATCATGCTTATATAGTATGTTTTTTAAACCTCATTAGATTGTCACACAATAGTTTTTTTTAGCAATGGTTATATCAATTAAATTCTCTAGGAAAACCTAGAGTGGGAAAGACAGTTTTTATTGATGTCTGTGTCTCCATTGGGGACAATCACCCCTCTCTTTGTACTGGTGGACATGGTAACTAGGAATTTAGGGGAAATCCAATTAGAGTTTGTCCCAAGAACAAGAGATAAGGGGAAGCCTTCCAATTGGAACACCTGTTACTGGAACAATTGTCTAAAGCAGACAATAGATGAGTCATTTTTTTAAATTCAAGCAGCAGGTTGAATGAAAAAAAAAATGACTTGATTTCCCAGTCCACATATTCGAGGTGGATGGGAGAATCGTCCCAGCTGTGTCATTGTATTCTGACAGAAGGAAGGCTTACTGCTGCGGCAAAAGTCCAACAGGGCAGTTGTACAGACGTCAAATGGGAAGCATTTTGATTCATGTATTGCCATCTCAAGAGCAAAATTCCACTATCTTAGGGAGATTTCAACTTACTGTTGCATCTCTGGTACAGGAAGTGAAATTTCTCCAATGGTATGCAGACAGCAAAAAAAAAGAAAAAAACAAACTTGCAGAGCTATTAACCCTACCCAACTCTATCTAAAAACAGGAAAAAAAGTTTTTGCTATACATACAGTATACTTTAAAGTGATTCTAAAGATAAAAATGTTTTTTACCTTAATGCATTCCTTTCATTAAGTTAAAAAATGTTTTATGTCTTTCTGTCCTCCCCCCTCCCCCCTCCCTGTGTGAAGGGGAAGAGAGGGGAGAAGAGATCAGCACTGTGCATGGCTGAATCTCCTCTCCCCTTCTCTTCCGCTTCACACAGGGACTCGAGCAGCAGCCAAATGCAGTGAGTTCTCTCGTGCACAGTAAGGGGTTAATATATTTTTCACAGTATATACAGATTGCTTTTAGCTTTAGCAGAAATGGCCTTTCTTTAACTTTCTGTTAATAGCTTTAACAGAAAAGCCTGGAGTGTGAAATGATTGCCCAGCAGCTGCACAGACCATCCAGTGAATCCTCACATCACAGAAACAAGGCACCTGGGTAAACATACTTTTTATTGCTTACCTTCTCTCTGCTTTTTGGGGTCTTCTCGGGTGCTTCACTGCAAAGCTATCCCCTCACTTACGATCTGTCCCCCATCCTTCTGGTGGATCAGATGACAGTGGGATGGAACCAGACAGGCGGTACATTTCCATCTGACTGCCCCATGGACTGACCCCCACACCACACATCCGCCCCCGCCCCCATCCTGCTGTGACAGCTTGCGGGGGAGCTTCTCCTCCCCTGCTAGCTGTCACAAAATGAAAAACTGTTGTTATGAGGTAAAGCATCCTCCTTTAAGGAGATGTATCTGTGTGATTGTAATTATGCTGAGATTATCACTCGGGTATTAATTTCTGATATGGTATTGACAATTTATTTAAAAACATAGATATATTATTATTATACAAGATTTATTATACAGGATTTATATAGCGCCAACAGTTTGCTCAGTGCTTTACAATATAACGGGAGACAATACAGCAACAATACAGTTCAATACAAAAGAGTTAGGAAGGCCCTGCTCCTTGGAGCTTACAATCTAAGAGGGAGGGGCTGTGGTGGTACAAAAGGTAGTAACTGTGGGGGATGGACTGGTAGGAGGAGTAGAAGATTCCATTATTAGCTGAGGGCAGGATAGGCTTCCCTGAAGAGATTGGTTTCAGAGATCACCTAAAAGTGAGCAGAGTAGGCGATAGTTGATAAATTGGGTAGAGAGTTCCAGAGGATCGGGGAAGCTCTGGAGAAGTCCTGAAGACTAGCATGAGAGGAGGAGACAAGGGAGCTAGAGAGCAGGAGGTCGTGCAAGGAGCGGAGAGTACGGTTTGGGTGATATTGCAGACAAGATTGGTGATGTAATTTGGGGCAGAGTTATAAAAGGCTTTATATGTTATTGTTAATGTTTTGAATTTTATCCGTTGGGCAATGGGAAGCCAGTGGAGGATTGGCAGAGAGCGGTGGCAGATATGGAACAGCTGGTAAGGTGGATGAGTCTGGCAGCAGCATTCATGATAGACTGAAGACGGGATAGTCTGCGATGAGGTAGGCCAGTGAGGAGGGAGTTACAATAGTCAAGGCGAGAGATTACAAGGGATGTGAATAAGTTGCTTAGTAGTTTCGGAGGTTAATAACGGCGTATCTTGGAGATGTTGTGGAGGTGAAGTCTACAAGATTTGGGACAGTGATGGATTTTGGGGGCTGAAAGACAGCTGCTGGGAGTCTAGGATTACACCTAGTACCCTGGCATGAGGGGAGGGGGACTGATGTTTGTGTATTGATCTTGATGGAGAAGTCAGGGAGGGGGCACGGGCTGGGGGGAATACTAAAAGCTCAGTTTTGGAAAGCTTGAGGAAGTGGAGTGACATCCATGCTGATAAGTCACTTAGTAGGTTAGTAATGCAAGAGGAGACTGAAGGGGTGAGAGGTGAGGAGTAGAAAGATAGATTTGTGTGTCATCAGCATAGAGATGGTACTTAAAGCCATGGGAGTTTAACAAGTGATCAAGGGAGGAGGTGTAGATGGAGAAGAGTAGGGGTCCAAGGACAGAACCCTTGAGTGACCCTACAGAAAGAGGGGGAGTGAAGAATAGGAGCCAGAGTTATAGGTAATGCTGAAGGAGCGCTGCGATAGGTAGGAGGAGAACCAGAAGAGATGAGTCTCGGAGGCCAAGAGAGTGGACTTTTTTGAGGAGGAGGGGATGGTCAACAGTATCAAAAGCCACGGAGAGGTCAAGTAGTAAGAGTACAGAGTAGTGGCCATTGGTTTTAGCAGTTAGTAGATCATTAGTGAGTTTTAGGGCAGGGCAGTTTCAGTGGAGTGTAGTGAGTGAAAAGCCAGACTGTGATAGGTTTATACAACTTTGGGTTCTATAGGAAATGGAATACAAGTGATTAGGAAAAATCTGTAAAAAAAGGGGTTATTTTAGATTAAGATGATGAGGTGGAGCCTGGAAGGATGGGATAAATGAGAACTTGTCTTTCTACAAAAAGGGAAAATCTGAAGGTCTGATAAAAACTTGATGTATGGTCTCTGCAGGGCTTTTTTTCTCAGAGAAAAGGTGCAAGAACTCAACCCCCCCCCCCCCCCCCAGGTCATGCCTGTTCCCGTCCCCCAGGACCGCCCCTTGTCACCACCCCTACATACCTCCTACCACCACCCTTTTAGAGAACAGGGAACCAAGTATAATTTGGGGGCTATACAAGTATGGTGTTTGTACGGAATTTGTTAATAAAAAGCAATGTAAGAGAATGTGGAAAACATTAGAAATCCATCATGTAACAAAGTAAGCTCAGAGGCACTTCGAGCCCATATCCAGCAAGAGACAGTCCCCATATCCAGCAAGAGACAGCCCCAATATCCAGCAAGAAACAGACCCCATATCTAGCAAGAGACAGCTCCCACATCCACCAAGAGACATTCGCAATATCCATCAAGAGACAGTCCCCAATATCCAAGCAAAAGAGACAGCCCAATATCCAGCAAGAGACAGCCCCAATATCCAGCAAGAGACAGACCCCAAAGTACAGTGGTAGCCTTAAGAGAAAACTGGAATTTACAGGTATCTCTGTACGAGCACACTGTATTGGTATTATACATTATGGTGTGACATCAGGAAAATATATAAGAAGAAAAACTAAAGTGTTTGTTGTGTTCTCTAGCTAAAACTAACTAAAGAGCAAACAAGGAGAAGTTATAATTTTTTTTAGGAAAAGGGTGTCTTCTTAGAGCATGAAGCTAGGGTCTTACAAAAGAAAATTGTAAAGTAGTAAGTCATTGTAAAATGTTTTATGTGAGCTGGAGTCAGTAATCAAAGGTCAGATATATCAAAGCAGTAGCTGTATGTACGGTGCTACTAGACAAAGCTACTGACATTATTTTGGACTGTGATTTAATGGTCCCACACACAGTCCCCTTTTAAAGTCTTGGAAAGTGTTAAAAATGACACATCTTGAAATGTTTACTAAATTAATAAAAACCATTGAAATACAAAATGAAAAAAAAAAAGACTATATCTTTTCCCACCTATTTATCACAAAGTCTCTTTTCGTAGAGTTTTAACCTTTTAAGAAAAAAAAGATCCAGTAATTGATGTAATTGCACAGATACTTTCAGAGTCTTATATGAAATATCTACATTTCAGGTGGTAATTACTACATACCTCTATGGTGTTTCCATAACATTCCTCAGGCCCATGCTGGCATTCATATTCCCACTTTCCTGAAACATTTTTTTCCTGACAAAAAAGGAAAAAACATAACTCTACAAAACAAATACATTGTTAGGCAATGGAAATTAACATATAATGGGGCATGAGTGAAATCAAGTTGCAATCCTAGCAAACCCATAAGCTGTAAATATTTTGCATGCATATATACAGGCAGATTTGTCCCTATCCCTAGTGTGTGCAGCAGTGGATACAAGGACTGCTGCATATGTGTGCGGTATATACTGTCAATAGGCACAGGCTCTGTTTAACCCACTTATACCCCCTTCCTACCCAGGCCAATTTTCAGCTTTCAGCGCTGTCGCACTTTGAATGACAATTACGTGGTCATGCAACATTGTACCCATATGAAATTTTTATAATTATTTTCACACACATAGATCTTTCTTTTGGTGATATTTAATCGCCACTGGGTTTTATTTTTTGCACTATAAAAAAAAAAATAGCAAAAAAAAAAAAAAAGTTTTTCTTTGTTTCTATTATAAAATGTAATTTTTTCCTTCACTGATGTACGTTGATGAGGCTGCACTGATAGGCAGTGATGAGGTGGCATGGATAGGCAGCACTGATGGGCACAGACAGGCTGCACTGATGAGGTGGCACTGGTGGGCATTGATGAGGAGGCATTGATGATGCTGCACTAATATGCAGCAATGATGAGCACTGATAGGCGGCACTGATGGACACTGATAGGCAGCACTGATGGGTGGTGTTGACTGGTGGCATTGACTGACAGCACTGATTGATGGAACTGACTGGCAGCACTGCTGGGCACTGATGGGCAGCACTGCTGGGTGCAACTGCTGGGCAGCACTAATGGATGGCACTGGTGTGAGGCACTGCTCATCAGGGCACTGTGTCATTTGCCGGTTATTGGTAGTACTGTCCTCAGCCGATAACTGGCAACTGTATTTACATTGTGATCTGCTGTGTCATTGGGCACAGATAATCACATGGTAAAAGGCTGTTTTGATTGACCTTTTATCTCATCATGTGATCAGCTGTGTCCGCAGAACACAGCGATCATGGAGAGAGCCGGGTGCGCGCGGCAGGGCACGTTCTGGGAGGACGTCATATGACCCACTCCCAGAACCGACAACGCACTGTAGCCATCATTCAGCTATAGAGCGGTTGGCAAAGGGCTAATCATCCCCACTGTAAGGGCCTTTTCACACTAGAATGCCACATGGGAGAGCTGCATTCCCATGTGGCTTCCCACACCGCATTCCGATTGCGATCTGCTGTGGGTGTCAGTTCAAAGTTAAATACATCCCAAATGCGAGTTGGCCGCACCAGATCGCATGGTACAAAAGTATCGTCCAATGCGGTTGTCATGCGTTTCAAGAAATAGTACATGCATTACTTTTGGTGTGGTGCGATTTCAGCTCATTTAAGATGAATAGGGATGAAATGGCACTGCACAGAACTGCATGTGAATCGCACAGGAACCGCACAACGTTCACATGCGGTTCCTAGTGCGAATGAGCCCTAACTGTTATACTCAATCTTACCACAGCCACCATTTGCCACAGCATGTATTAAACTTATTTCTGTCTTCTATAACAGGGTGCCACTGGTCTTTAATCTTAGTCTTGCTCACATTCTGTCATACAGTTTTGACTTTTTAACTCTAAAGCAGGCAGACTACCCTTATGGCTATTGGTAAAGTTTACATATTGTTTATACTGTTATAGATTGAAATGAGCCTTGAGATAGGAAGAGGAACATTACACATTGACCTGAATTACATAGGTTATGTAAACTGTAGGTGGACCCTATATACTCCCATATGATTGCATCGTATATCCTTCCTCCTTACGATTAATGTATTCTTCACATGCTTTCATGCTTTCTGTACTTTCTTGCAAAATTGTTCATTTGTAATTAGAAGATAACCACAAAAATGATGCTGATACACTGTTTTAAAGACTTATCATCAGACACCGTGTTGGAATGTTTTGCAAGATGAGTCAACAGAAAAGTGATATTTCAGTCTTGAGTGAGCATGGTTGAGTAAAGCACTTGCTCAATTTACGTATCTTGTGGTGACTTTAGGGAAGAGATATCTTTATATACCTTTAAAGATGTTAAAAAATACATTCTGCTTTTAGTGCTTGGAGGAGTAAACGTTAAGAGCTCTTTCCCACTGGTGGCTGCTGCAGCCACGGCAATCTTGACTCCAACTGCAAAGTTTGACAGGCGAACTCGCCCATTGAGATCAACAGAGCCACACCGCAACTGTGAGCCAAATGCTTGGCTGGCAGTTGTGGTGTGATTCCACAAGGTAAAATTGCCATTCTGAAATTTAAAAAATGTAAAAGCGCTGCAAGGCAGATTACTTCTCAAAGGACAGTAAAAAGGTCTGAAAAGTACTGCACCGCAGATTACTTCTCAAAGGACAGAAAAAAGGTCTGAAAAGCGCTGCACCGCAGATTACTTCTCAGAGGACAGTAAAAAGGTTTAAAAAGCGCTGCACCTCTACTCCGTCAGCTCAAGTTTCTATTCGTGGACATAAATCAGTCCCTTTTTTGATAGAACGAGGAACTAGACAGGGATGTCCTCTTTCTCCGTTGCTCTTTGCGTTGGATGGAACCTCTTGCGATTGCTATTCGCGCTGATTCCACTATATCGGGTGTTACCTGTGGTCAAAGGGTTCATAAATGCGCCCTATTTGCCGACGATGTTCTTATGTACATATCTAATCCTCGCACGTCTCTGCCTGGTTTATTTCCATCTGTTTCATCGGTTTTCTGAGGCCTCCGGTCTTACGCTCAACTCCTCAAAAACTGTTGCTTTAAATATCTCGTTACCCGATTCAGAGGTTCGCTACTGCCGGGAAAACTTTGATTTTCAGTGGGCCCCTGATTCTCTCCCCTATCTGGGGATTCTCCTTACGAAATCTTTATCGACGCTATACCAGGCCAACTATCTCCCGCTTTTCAAACGACTTAAAAATGACTTATTAGCCTGGCAGGATCTTTCACTTTCCTGGTTTGGTAGAATTAATTTTATTAAAATGACCTTCCTACCTAGATTATTATACTATTTCAGGACGTTACCAATTCTGATTCCCAAACGAGAACTAGTCTTATTACAGGCTGCAGTCTCCAGATTTGTATGGAGGGGAAGGCGCCCTAGGCTGAACAAATCTACCTTGTTTTCTCTGAAGAGGCATGGCGGTTTGGGACTCCCTAATCTTTTCGCATACTTTCAGGCGGCCCAAATAGCACAACTATCTTGTACTACGGCCAGGGGGTATGTACCCCAATGGGTTGGGATTGAGGCTCTTTCGTGCCGTCCATATGCTCTTGGTACTCTTATGTTGCTTCCCAGTAGATTGCGCCCTCCTATTTTGTGTCCTACTCTATCCTATTCATTGTCAGTGTGGGATAGATGGCGAGCTTGTAAACCATTCTTCTCTCCGCATACCCCGTTGGCTCCGGTGTTTGGTAATCCTGAGTTTGCCCCGGGTTTATCTTTCGCGAGGTTCCAATGGTGGATTAATAAGGGTTTGCTACATATTGGGGATTACTTGGATGGGGTTCGCCCTCGGTCTCTTCATTATTTTGTGAATTTTTGTGGGATACCTCGTGGAGAGATATTTCGTTATTATCAACTTCACTCTTTTATTGATAGCAAACTTAGACTACTCGCAGAACCCTGTGCGCTTACTTCCCTTGAGGTCTCCCACGGAGCTTAGACACGTGGGAAACCGCAGAGCATTACTGGGAAGGGGGAAAGAAAGCCGGCCGGCATCTGCAGGTGAGAGCGAGGACGCCGCTCGCTTCTCGCTCCTCCCTTGACATACAGGAGAAGACACTCGATTAATGGATGGCCCGCTCCTGTGTGTTTGAGTCTATACACAGGGGAGTAGGGGCAAGAAGATCCAGAGGAGTCCCCTGAAGAGAGCAATTGGAAGCTGAAGTTAGCAGCTCGGGGCTTGAGTGTGAGCAGCCTTGTGATTATATGGTGACTGTATGTTTAAAAGTGGGTTAGACTCCCCTGGGGGAAGATGAGTATAAGTGAAACTAGCAGCCCTGGAAGAAGAAAGGAGCGCATCACGTGTTGAATGATCTAGGTCTGGTCTGAAGCTGTTAAACCCAAGGTGGTTCCTGTATTTAACTGAATAAAACACGGAGACGAATTAAAACGAAACCTAGTGGGCTAAAGGGCCATAGGCCGATAAAAAAAATATACATAAGGTCCCCAGAAAAGATTTTATCGGTGATTAGCTGGACAAGCTTGAAGCTTCCACTGGGAACAAGTGAGCATAATAGTTATTAGAAATGTGGAAAGGAAAAATCTAAAGTGAACTAAAAGTACCAAATAAGAAAGAGATGGCTACAAAATGTCTAGAAAAAACAATAAAACAAGAACTGACGAATCATACAGAGTGATTTAGGGCAAGTGTTATTACGGAATGGAGGAGAACTGGCGCGACTTAGAAAAAAGGACAAAAGATATTATAAGAAAGAGTACAAAAAAATAGACTGTTGTTATAGAATGGAAATAAAATAGAATTATTACAGGAAAACCTGAAGGAAGAACTTTAGGGTTAAAAGGTATCCCGGAGTCCGTGAAGGGAGAGGAAATGAGAGACTTTATCTGTTACTAGTACTCCCATATAGAGAGAGACCAGAAATAGAACAGTGGAATCTGGAAGAAGGTTTTTAGACTTAGAATTAGAATGTTCAACATGGAAATGGTGGAGACAAATGTTTCCAAATGATGTGTGATAAGGAAGAGATATGGAGAAAGGATTAAGGGAAGATCAAATATTTAAATATGGTAGAATAAATTCCAGATATTTCTGAAGATCCAGAGACAGTAGAAGAAGATTCTGGATTCGAAGCAATTGAAAAAAACATTATAATTTCTTTACTTGAGATTTCCTGAGGATTTAAGAGACTTTTGTGTGATAGGATTTGATTTGCAAAATTAGATGAAATTTCTGGCTGGGAGGAGGAGGACAGGAGTAGTGGGGATAGAGGACAAGGAAGACTGGCAGT